ATGGGCATCTACACAAATTTAGCAGTAGACATTTCTTTTAGTATACTAGATCAAATTGTTTGAATTGCTCCAGTACTTTTATGTGATGTAAAAATCTACCATAGAATTTTAAATTGATGATATTGCAGAATTCGATACATTCTCACAGTTGGCGTTAACAGTAGATTGGTCTTTTCATTCTCTGCATCAAATGATGACAACATTTTTTCTTGGCGAGAGTTCATATTCTCACTGTTTAAAAAAATTCCATCTAACTTGGGTTCTGGCCAATGAAAAAGTGAGAATTTGGACTCCATTTAACAATGAAAGTATCATCGGTCCACTCAAAGAGAATCAAGTTCTCAGGTTTTAATTCTAAACAAGAGAAACAAACTCCTTGAAGCTTATTTGAAACTCACCTGAACATGATGGACGTGTACATGTTTCAAGTTGAGATGGCTTAGTTCCAGCACAAAACAAATCATTCACAACCTCGTTATCAGAAAGGCGCTGACAAGTAACAATACGATTTCTTTCACCATCTCCACAAGACACTGAACACTAGAAAGAAAACAAAGTTAAACATGATGTTCCAAACAATTGTTATTCCACACCCCCAATAACTTGATATTAACCCTTTGACCCCCCCCTCCCGAGTCAATTTTTAGCATCATACACAACTTTGAACTCAGTTCTTCCCATTTTTAATACAATTTTTTTTATCAACCTTTGTAGGCAATTCAAATTTATATCTATTTGACCCAAAATTAATATAAAAATTTAAGAAAAATATGCACAAATTTTAAAATGATGCACTAAAATTGTAGCGAAAAATTATAGCATCCAAACGGTTGGTTCAACATTGTTTTTTTGGAAACCGACTTATTCATTTGCATTTCATACAAGCTACTTAATAGATTCCTCAAACGTATGTTGCCCATGATACATTCTCAGACTAACTTCTTGGACACAGTTCAAACAGTTGGTTAAAATATTTGTGAGCAAAAATAAATAATGTGTTGCTCCCTGCAACTATGAACTACTGTAAAACATGTTGAAAAAGCGGCATGCAATTTTAGCGAATTGTGGTAAAATGCCGTAATAGCGAAATGTTGATTTAGCGAATCTCTTGTCATTGTTGATTTCTTTGTTTGGTGGCCATTTTGAATTGATAATAAAGTCATTAGTGACATCTTTAATTAGCGAATCAGTTCTCTCGCTAAATTCGCGAAAAAGACATGCTCGCGAAAAAGACATGTTTTACAGTATGTCATGATGTAGACTTTATCCAGGTATTAATCTGCCTGAAATTGGGTTGCCGAGTACAATATTCAACTAAGAAATTCAATTATAGTTCTATGGTAATAAATCTTTACCTCATTCCAATCTGTAGCAAAATAAGCATACAGTGGGCACTGTACAAATGACTCATATATACTGAAGCCTGCATGAACACTGTCTTCATCGCTATGGAATCGTAATGTGATGGTGGGTCCAGTTGAAATCAATGTAGGTGGCAGAAACCCATCACCACAATATCGCCGAGTTAATGCTGGATTTCCAGTTACTGAAACCTGACAAAGTAATAAGTTATGAAATATTCTTCACTATACCACTATACATTTTCGCAAGTGCATTCTGACTTTTCTAAAAAATGCGACTACTTAAACTTTCTGTATTGAGGGCACCTACTTTCAAGATTTTTCTAAAAATGTCTTTGACTGATTGAAATTGTCAACTATGTACATTTAGCTGAGGGTCCTGTAGATGCAATTTGTTAACATTTCTACCAACAAGTATGGTCATATATTGTTTAGATTTACACTATTTGTAGATTAGCTGTAGATCATGATCATAAAGTTGACCAAAAAACTTTGAAGTACATGTGACAATTTATTTCAAGTTCCACATGGATCAGTAATTTTCTTATCCTTTTTAAACTTGTGAAATAATTCTGCCCTATGTATTTATTTCTAGTTGAGAGCACAACTGTAACACTGAACTAACAGTGGCAAGATGCAACCTACCTCCAAATAATCCTTATCACAGATACCTTCCTGACTTCCAGATTCCAAAGCAAAATCAAAGAAATTAAGTTGAACACAGCCACCAGTTGGATTCTCGATGGTTATCAAGCAGTCTTTACTCTGGTCATAATTCTGAGGGTAGTTGGGGGATTGTATTAACTCTCCCGATACTCTAACATCCCGATCACAGTCTGAAACTGCACAGAATAAAAGCATATTTCAAATAATGTTTCCTACATAACTAATGCAGACAGACCGATAGATGGGCAGACTGGAGGTCAAATTTGTGAGCTACTCCATTAGAAGTTTTTAATATTACTGGTAATTGTGAGATGATCACAAAGTCCCAAGTGATAGGTAAATTTCTAGAAATACTATTAAACACAAACTAGTAAATCTGTGAAAGAACTGGTTAGTATCTGTCACAGATTTTTTCTTCTAGTGCCCTTTCTATTTGTAGAATTTACATTTCCATAGTTCATACCCCTTTTTTTTTTATTATCAAGTGTTTTTTGCCTATTGTAATACGCTGTAGGGCTTGCCAAGTTTGATTCACGCATACATGAAACCATCACAGAATGGGATCGTCATTGCATGTCGCTAAACCTACATGGACATCTTAATTATGTACACTCGTCCTATAGATCCTTAAGAGATTACACTGGCAGTGATACATGCGTTTGTTCAACCATGATCGACACAAGTACATTAGGCAATACTCGCCAGGACAGTCTTGTTCTTGACAACTCTCGGATTTCCATCGGCTTTGGAGCGTTGCAAAGATCATCAGAAACCACAACACCAGACTGAGTACAGGTGACGACACGCGACATTTGACCACCACCGCATGATACATCACACTAGAGAAAATAATAGAAATGTATGAAGCAATGGACATTTTAGAAATTTAAGTAGTTCATCTGGAGTAAAACATTACGAGTATATATTTTTTATATAAATGCTACTGTAATGAGGTTATTACATTTCAAGAGTACACCATGAGGTATGCACGAAGTACAGAGCGAGTATTAACAGACGCATTATGCAGTTGATGCAACCACATACGGTTTAAGTGCATTTCTTGCAGTATTCTCATAACATGTCTACCCAGCAACAAGACATACCAAAGCCTTAGACGTTATACAGTGTCAAAGGCTTTGGAGAAATCAATAAAGCACAGTAAAATTTACCCTTTTTCATAGTAAGACATTTCTGAATCAATTACTATAGTATGTCTACCCAGCCTAACAGAGTTGAAGCATATATACATGTACATGTAAGAACATTATAAAAAACTTGTTAACAGGTACTGTGATAGGTCCAACTGTTGTAAGGATTGGGTAGCCAATCAGGCACAACCTTGGAGTCAATACGAAGCCACTTACAAGATTTTGCCTGATTGGTCTAACTGTTAGGTAGCCAATCAGAGAGCAGTTCGTTTGTTGACAGGTATTTTTTTGATGTATTAAGTCCTGCCTTATATACATGTACATGTTTTGACTCAACTGTAACCTTGTAAGTTTTGCATTGATTCCAAAACTGAGCAAGATTGTGAAAATTAGAACTTTCTTGACAGGAATTTAGTTTATAAACAAGTTGTCATTTTAGAAATATCCCACAATCATTTCATATTTGACATTTGTAATACACAGGTTTGTATTACACCACAAAATTGTAAAATGTAACCTATGGGAATACGGTGACAGATTATTCTACCAGACTGAAATAATAAAAAGTAAACAACTAAAGTCATTGAAGACAAAATGTAATAAATACACTCACATCAGACCAGCCGGCGGTATTCCACATAAATGTACGACACTGTTTGAATGTGACATATAACCAGTAACCTCTCTCTGTATTAGCTTCATTACTGTGGAATTTCACAGTGACTGATCCACTTTGCGATTCCCATGGAGCAGGTATGCTTTCATCTCCACAGTATTTATCTGTGTCATTGGGTTATTGCCATCAATTACCTGAGTGTTAAAATGAAGACAAGATAGAAAACAAGTCAAGCATGAAATATATTATCTTGAGATTTAGCTTGTAGGTTACAATTTTATTTTAAAGCACTTTTTACACTATATTGAGCAAATTTAAGTTACAAGCCGTGCGTTGTGATTAAACATTATTCAACTAAAATGATGTTTTGAGATGAAATCAAGAAGAGACTCGCCTCCTCCCCTAATACACACAACATGCATTTTTTCAATCTGTACACCAAACTGACCAGAAAAAATTGGTCTCTAGTAAAAGGTTTGAGATTATGTGATGATAAAGACAAAAATCAAAGAAATTGTTACCTCTAAATAATCATTGTCGCAAAGATCGGATGTAGAGCCAGCTTCCAATGCAAAATCAAGGAATGCTATTCTAATGCATCCAACATCATTGGTGATACGAGCAATACAATCTTGGTTAGCAAGATAATTGTTGTCTGGGTAACCGAAGGACTGGATGTAAGCACCGGACTCTGAAATACTTGTATCACAATCTGAGGCTAGAAATATACAAGAAGTGTTCTATTATGCATATATCAGTTTTAAACATTTAAAAATCAACCACTTAAGAATAGTGGAGGTGAACCTCTTATGTTTTAAGCAGTGCACAATGAAATGTATTAAACCAAACGAGCCACACAGACATGTTATGTTGCACAGATCCAAGTGGTATTATAATAGAAATAACAAATATATTTGACTTACGTGGACATTGGTGTTCATTGCATGGTTCACTTTCCATTGGTCTTAATCCGACACATTCATTATCAGGTACCTCCTGACTATTACCAGTACTAATACATACAACATCACGCACCTTCGTACCTCCACCACATTCAGCATCACACTGTACATAAAAAAAATAGCAATTTGTCA